AAAAAAAAAGGAAGAAAGAAGGACAATATGGTATGAAGCTAAGACTGAGAGCAACCAAAGCATTTATAATGAAAAGATCAAACTTCTTCTTGCTGTGGACTGGGAAACATCTCGTTTCAACTGAGAGGCATAACACATGCAGCATTTGGGCAGTTTGTATAGAACGATAATGTGGTTCACAGAAAATATGTGTGTATATATTTAAATGCCACTGCCAAAACAAACACGGTTTCAACTATGTCTGTGGAATACAGTAGAGGGAATTATTGAAGTAGAAGGTAAGGAAGAAAATCAAACAATGCATATGGAAAAAGAGAGAGAGCCCAGACAATTTAAGCATGCACAGTAGGTGCCCTTGAGGGAAACATGGAGACGGGAATCTTCAGATCACCAAAAGCCTGCAGATCGAAATAAGACTCTTCTGTTTGTTTCTATGCTTGTTTTTCATGTAATATGGGAAACATGACAGGCACTATAAGCACACAAGAATTCACAGGTATGTCTGATTCCATCATATACTCTGCTTCCCACATAAAATCTAAAAGACATCAAGGTTTGATTGGCTATCAGGATTAAAAAGTGGTAAAAAATGACAATGTTTCATACAACTGAATCAAGCCCAGGGAAAGAAACCCAGTAGTAAAAAAAAAATTTCTAGGAATATACTAATAAGGAAAAGGAAAAAAAAAGAAAAAAGCATATTGAGATAATCATTAGATTGTAAATTAAAACCTTCATTCAACAAGTCTTACTTAAAATGGAAAGAAGAGCAACAACTCAATTATTTGAGGCTTTTGAATCAGAGATTTTAGAATTTTACATGTACATTTACATTTTAACATGTAAGTAATGTAACATGTAATTTGTGAGACACAAATTAGTATCCCTGTTGAAGGTTAGGCTACAATGTGAGCCCAACTCCATCCATTGGACAGATCCTGTAGTTAAGAGAGGTTATGAATAATACAGCTGAAGAGAGAGACTAAGAACTCTCAACTTACTATGCACAGTATAATTCAACTATGAGAGAAAAAGGAAGATGAAAAAAGCCCTCATCTTTCAGTGCTTAGGAACTGTTATCAGCAACCAGTAAAGTGCTGGATTTCGGGCTTAGCTGCACTCTAACTCATCTGGCTTTGGACAAAAAATTACAGATTCTACCAAAATGTTCGATTTAGTCCATTTGAGAAAACAATTCGCTTTTTGTCTGGAATGGCTAATCCACTGATGTTGAATACTGCACACTTTTTGTTCACAGAAACTGACAAAAGGTACTTGTTCCTTATCCATACTTTATGAGACAAGGGCTACATTTACAATAGCAAATATTAATACATTAAACACTTCTGGAAGCCAAAGACTGGTTTGGTTGGTATTAAAAATATAAGCAACTGTACAATAAACATGGGTGTTCTCTCTCTAGATATCCTGTAAGTTCTTAGATTTTCCTATAATCACTCCCTATAATGCACTGTAAAAGAGTACGTAGCATTCTGCTTCCTTTTAAAATTTCTAAATTATTATTGTGTACTCTGATGCAAAAGTATAGATTGAAGATTTTTCTTTTCAAAATGATACAATTTTAAAAATCTATTTTATTTTTAATAGTTTGAAATCAACCATGTTTATATTGCCTAACTTGGGATAACCATGGATTATGCATGTGCAGACATTTTGTATTATTTTAAAAACTGTAACACTGTTTAAAGCGTAACTACAGTATAGAATAAGTTATGTCATAAATATGATAGCAAAACATATTTACTTTATAGGACTGTACTACTTACAGCGAAATTGCTTTGTGCTGCATAGTGTAGTGGTGTTGCACCTTGACTGTCAGATGGGATAGTTCCAAACTTGTTTCTTTCTAGTAAGAGATGTACAATCTGTGCATGACCTGAGAAAAACAACATAATAAAGACATACTGTTTGTGAATGCTCTAACATTAGGAAAAAGTTGTAAGACTTATTATTTTAACAAATAAGCTTGTTGTGCCCTTTCTTCCCAACAGCATTCTAGTTCCAAACTCTGCATCCTCATTTTTGAGTGGCATCAGTAAACCATAATGACCTATGAATAGGAACATGGAGAAAGATATATTTTGTATTTGTTTTAAAAGAAATCATTGGAGTAAAACCAGAAACCATCTTTGATTTCCCTAAACAAAGAAGCTGCAGTTGGTCTGACAACTGCAATACTAACATTATAATGAGCAAGAAGATTATTTTCAAGCAGAGTTTCTTGTAGGCCAGCTGATACGCTGCATATGAGTGAGAAGTCCAGCAGAAACAGTGAAGTGAGCACAGACTGAATATGATGTGCATTTTTCCATCCAGTTTCCTTAAATGGTCAACTCAACCAACATTTCATCCTACAGGATAGTGTTTTACAGAAATCAAGTATGGATTACTTAGTTAGATTTTATTCAAACAAAAATTCCAGTGAAAATGTATAGCAAAATTTGGAGCATATTCTATTACTAGATGCCCTATCAACAACAAATACAGAAATAATAAATTGACACATACATACTTCCATCAAAACAGATTTGAATATCTTTAGATTGGAAATGTAACTTTTGGAGGAGAAGGATAATCATCTCTATGGGTAATTTCTCAATAACAATTTAGTATCAGCATTTGAGTGTAAATGCAAATTTGAGGACACTTTTATTTGCTTGCCTTAAAAAAAGTCCTAAACTTAATGATACTGTGTGTATTTTGTCACTGGAGCTGCAGTAATTCATTCCACTGAGAAATCAGATTTTTTTATAGATGTCATGAGGAAGATGTCTGTTGAAAGAAGAATGAGAGTATTTGAAGGGTCTTTGCTTTTTATCCAGTCCTCTGTTTATTCTTTCCTCCTGCACTGAGGAGGACAGAAAGTAGGAGGTCAACTTTTAAAATAATTTTATCTATGTCATGTTATGAATTGTATTTTCCTCTGTTTCCACTATCTCCATTTAATTGCATCTGCACAACAGTACAGAATTCACATACACAAGCATATAGTTTACAGAGTATGTGAGCAACAGTCTAGCAATATGAACAACAAGAATAATAAAAGCTTTATCTGAAACATCAACAGCACCATCAAATAGTGAAAAATCTAACTAACTGAATCATGTTAGGAGAAGCCAGAGTAATTTCTGCCATTAATGAACACATTTGAGAGCTAATGGGGGCTACTGCATTCTTTTCCTTTTAAAGATAACTCTGGTAAAATCTAGCGAGATTTCCCAATAATAGCAAAGTTAAACCTGCATTTTCACGTTTTTCATTAAAAAAAAAAGACCAGCATAACATGGAGGAAAAAGAATACAGGCAACAATACAGGCTGGGGGCCAGCTGGATAGAAAGCAGCTTTGCAGAAAAGGACCTGGGGGTCCTGGTGCACAAGAAGCTGAATAGCAGTCAGCCGTTTGCCCCCATGGCAAGAGGGACGATCACAGCGGGGCAGGATTAACAAGAGTGTAGCCAGTAGCTTGATGGAGGTTGATTCCTCCCCTCTATTCAGCACTTTTGAGACTGTATCTGGGAGATGCTGTCCAGTTTTGGGCTTGCCAGTACCCAGAACACATTAACAAACTGGAGTAAGTCCAGAGGAGGACCACCAAGACAGCTAGGGAGCTGGAGCACATGACATATGAAAATTTGAGAGAGCTTAAGAAGAAAAGGCTGAGGGAAGATCTCATTCCTCTCTATAGCTGTCTACAGGGAGACTGTAGAAAAGATGGAACCAGGCTCTTCTCCAAGGTGCACAGTGATAGGACAAGAGGCAATGAAGGCAAGTTGCATTAAATTCCCATTAGAAACAGAGAAAATCCATTTCACCATGAGAAAGGTAAAATACTGAAATAAATGTCCGGAGAAGTTGTGGAAACTCCATCCATTCAAAACTAGAGTGACCAAGGCCCTAAAAAAGACTCAGCTAACCAAAGATGCTGTTTGCAGGGGTTTGGGTTGCATGAGTTGTTTGAGCACAGCAAACAAGCAACTAACAGGTAAGTGGTTTGCACAGCCAAGTCCAGACTCTGCCTCTAGATTTTCCAGGCATTTTAGGATGCCTGTTGCTGCTAGGGAAGAATAGATCCTGGAGGCTTCTAGTAAAGTACCTAATGACCCTATCAGCTATTCCTGAACAAAGGGTGTTTTGATCTTTCATCTTCAGCTGATTCCTGAAGAGAGAGTGTCAAGCAAGCACCCATTCAACTGATGGGCTGGAAATTGTGATGATGTTTGATTATGACTGCTCAATAACTGGTGATGTGCCACAGGACAGGGTCCCCAGCACCGACAGAAGTGTTGTCACACAGAGGCACATGAAAGACACCCCTGAAGCTGGGGTTATATTGTCTACAGAAAGCTCAGGGGAGGCCTTGTCGCCCTCTCTAAATACCTGAAAGGAGGTTGTAGTGAGGCAGGGGTCAGCCTCTTCTCCAAAATAACTACTGAAAATAGGACAAGAGGAAATTGCCTCAAGTTGTGGCTGGGGAGGTTCAGGTTAGATATTAGGAAAAAGTTCTATATGGAAGAGTGGAAAAGCATTGGAACAGGCTGCCCAGGGAAGTGATGGAGTCACCGTCCCTGGCAGTGTTCAAGAAAGGTGTAGATGAGGTACTTAGGGAACGTGGTTTAGCACGGTGGGTGTTGAAGGGTTTACAGTTGGACTCGATTATCTTAAAGGTCTTTTCTAACCATTAATGATTTTATGATTCTATGATTCTATGTTGTGTTGGCAGACACGGAAAGGCTGGAGGCACTCAGTGCCGACCTTCCCTCATTCTCCATCAGCTAGGTTTCCCAGGTCTCTGTACTTAGGGAAAGGGCCTCCCAAGAAGGCCAAAAAAAAACATTCTGGGAAACTGCAGGCCAGTCAGCCTCACGTCAGTTCCAGGGAAATTCACGGAACACGTCATCCTGGAGCATGTGTCTGGGCATGTGAGGTAGAAGGAGGTAACTGGGAACAGTCAGCATGAATTCACCAAAGGTAAGTTTTCTCTCTCTCGCTTTACATTTCCTGAATTCCCCTCCTCCAAATTCTTCATATGTTTTTTATAGTCATTTCAAATTAATAAATTTATTTATATGCTTTAAATTCCATAGTCAGTACACATGTTATTCCTGAACATTTCCAAGTGCAACAAAAAATTAACATTTGAATCACTGTGCAAAGAAAGAAAATGCAACCTCAAGAATCAGCAAGATGAATGAGCTCACAGTCTCAGCAAGGACCAGTGGATAGGCACAAAATCCTCTAACACCCTTACAGTTATTCACAGCTGATCAGCCAAGCCACTGAACTGACTTTTTACTGGCCGAGTTTTTTAATGCCTCACTGGAGGATGGGAGGCTGGTAGTTTTTGCTGAATGGTAAGTCTTTAGGCCCACAAAACTAGTTACTTGACATTACTTTTTGGAAGAGATTTTTAAGAAGTTGAAAAAGAAGTGAATGTTTTCTCTGGAGTCCCAGATTTCTACCCCTCTCTGCCAAGTTCTCAGTCATGATATGAAAAAATATGTACTGCTCCCATTAATATGGACTCCCTTTTTGCAACGGCAAATACAATGAATATAGAAAAAGGGCATTCCTTCTGAATGTGTGTAAATGAGCAACACACACACACACAAAAGGGCAGAGACTATAACCATAAATGGAACGTGCAATGTGACAGTGTGCAATTGTCACATCAATACCACAGCTCGTGCGCATTTTCTTTTGAACACGTCACTGCTGATATGGAATATGGATTTAAAAAATCCCCAAACAAAACATTCCCTCCACCCCCACCCCAATACCGGAAGTTCAAAAGTAAAATGAAGGAAAACTAAAGGAAAAGAGAGATATCATAAAAAGCAAACAGACTAAAATGAAATCATGTAAGCAGAGGGACAGCTAGGAGTTGGAGCAAATATCCTGGCAGTTGACAAAAAGATATCTAAATTATGATCTGAACAAAGCAGTTATTGGAATAACCAGTAACAAAATCCCTGTTGCAAACACTGCCTTTGTCATTCCTTCTTCTTGAAATACTTTTCCAAGCCTCATGCCAAACAGGAATAGTCCTTCCCAGAATAATTTAGGATCAGAAGATATCAAATGGCATGATTTATCCCAGAGAAATCCGATTTTCTCCCTATACATTCACATTTGACGCAGCTGTGTCTTCTATAGTTTCTCTTTGTTCTGGTTCTCCTTATGGATAACTCCACAGCGTTCCACAATTGTAATGCTTTCAGTATCACTATCTTGAAGATTGCTAAGTAGATTCCACCATAAATCCAATGTGCCTTGGTTGGTTGTGCTAGCCACAGGGGTATACAGTATCAGTAAAGCAAGGTCTATGTTGGCACACATTATCCTTTAAGATAAAATTCACCAGATAGATACAGACCTCTAGAGTATAAGTTTTTTGAGTTCTAGTTCCCTGAAAAATTGATCTATACACAAACATCTATGTAAGAACATCTGATATGTTCTAACTGTCCTCAATACAGCCTTGCTGAGCTACAGCGTTTTACAATCCTTTGGAGAATTTCAAGATAAAAAACACTCAACACATGAACATCTAATATTGGTCTAGCAAAACCCAAATACTATTGTTCTAAGAGATTAGTTATCACAATGCCAGGCCATAATTAAATTAAAAAAAATGGATACAAAGATTAAAAAACACAGTTGATTATTAAATGACTTTTGCATTCAGTCAGTTTTACCAAGTAAGGCTGCCCAGTGAAGAGGAGTTCGAAACAAGTTGTCATAAGACGTCACATTGCAGCCTTCATAAGAGGTCAGGACATCAACGACAGCTACGTTCCCATCAGCAACAGCAAAATGAAGGGGAGTTCGTCCTTCGTAGTCTTGCCAGTTAAGCAGAGATTCTGTAGGTGCAGCTTCCTTTAAAAAAATAAAAAGACTAAAAATATTTAAACTGAAGAGAGAAACTTCACAAAAAATCTTACAGTAAGAGTGAGATAAACTGTCTGTGGTTAGTAGAAGACAGCTTTGAGACAATCAAATAGTTCCATTATAGAATAGGTGATTTCCGAATACTTCTCTGTGTGTGTGTGTCCCACTTACTGTACAAGACTTGGTTTTTGATACACATGCTATGATCTACTGTAGTGGAAGCGACTCCTTATAGAGGAGGCTTAAAAGATGAACTCGGGCCCTTGTGAAAATAACTCGATCTTCTTACCTGATTATCTAAATTGCATATGATATATCTATCTTCATATTTCTCTCCTAGGTCACTCTATTTTCACACAAATTAATCTTATGGCTTTCTTCACAATACTTTTTCTAACATCTTAAAACCTCATGACTATCCGAGCATTCCCAAAGGAGATGTGAAGATCTCCAGGTGACGGGATAGGAGACAGAAAGTATTTCTAATGAATACATCTACCTCAACAAAAACAAACAAGCAAAGCAAAAAAGGAAATCAAGGAAATGTAGGAACTCAGATGGTAGGGCAGGAAACATCTGGAGCACAAGCAGAACACTAAAACAAATGCTTAAAATAACTACGGGGAGAAAGTAACAATTAAGAACAATTTACTGAAGTCAAGATAATTTTAAGTCACAATAACTTTCAGTCTTAGCCTGGGTTTCAAACCATGACGATAACTGAGAAAAAAATCATCCTGAAAATAGAGTGCCAGACCATGTCCTTCAACATATCTACGAAACAGTAGCGGGGAGAGGAAGAGAGGGGAAGAAGAGACTTTGATCAATGCATTTTGTTAGCAAAAGAGAACCAGTTCCTGACCCTTTTCTCATTAAATTCACTGCAATTTTTCCTACTAACCTCAATAGATACATGAACAGGCCAGAAATCAACTGCATTTGCATTATTTAAAATGCACTAAGTATTACAAATATCTCACACTGAGAATGATAAATCAAGGAGCAGAAAGTCGGGAAATTCTAGAATTATGTTTTTAACCCAACATTAATTTACCAAGGTTGTATATTCTGCAGGTTTTATTTAATAGATAAAATAATACATTTAGAGCTATATATAATCATACTTCCTAAATGTAATCTGGCTAAATTAATACTGCAGTAGCAACCTCAATTCTGGAATGTCCTCTCTTTTTTTTTCTTATTGTCTTACTTTCTAACAATGCCAGCTTAAATTACCTTATTGTACTTTATTTGAACAGCAATATATTTTAGATACTGCACATAACCACTATTAAAATGCCCTATCTTACATATTTGAAAAAATCTGCCACAATAGTTTATATCAGTATCCACATCAGTATACTATATACTAATATTAGTCACGATACCTTGGCAGAAAAAAAATATTACTCAAAACATACTGTAGTTCATTATAACAGGCAGCCACTAGCACCATCGCAGAAGATTAGAAATATAAAAATTTGATAAATGTGAATTTGTCTTACCAAAAGTAAAAGTGAACTTAGTGTTGTTACATACAGAAACCAGAATGATCAAAGCATGAATACTGCTTATTCTAATAAGTATTTAAAAGCATTCGATCTGAGCCATTAGAGTGAAAAGAGAAAATTTATGCTTTTCCATTTCTTTAACATCTCTCAGGACACAGCTAACTGACATTATGCTTACTTTCTCTCTATTCAAATTGCTTAGCAGGGGGAGTACGGAGCCCACTGAAAAAAAAAAACTCAGAAGGGATCTTTTGGAGAATGATTTTTAAAGCATGACTGAAGAGAAATGACAATTCAAACAGAAGTTAATACTGAACTTCTAACCACATCAGAGGAAAACGTGTTTGAATGAAATAAACTAACCGAAAAACATAATTCTTCTCTTCATCTATAATTTATTGATGTGATCTGGAAAGCTGATTTTTGATCCTCCCAAAACGAAAAAAAAAAAGATTTTTTTAACAAAACATGTCAAACAGATGAGACACAAAAACTTTTGTCTGAAAGACACTATGTTCCATAGCCTGTCTCCATAGCCTATCTCCATAACCTGGAGATGGTAAAGAAACCAAAATGGTAAAGAAACTTTCCATGACGAAACCTCTATTTACATTCAGACCTATAAGCCTTGTGTGCTCCATTTTCACTATATTTCATGGATTTCACTATTAGATGCAACCACATGCGCCTAACTGCCACCCCTGCAAATCTGACCTACTTTTTCAGCATTTGGTTCTCTTTTCATTATTGTTTATTTTTACAATCACCATGTCCAGAAGCTCTAGTCATTGGGCAAGATTACGCTGGGCTAAACGCTGTAAAAACACAAACCAGAAAAGGGATTCCTGCTCACTTTGGAAGTTTTAAAAGAGGAGACGATAGATGGATACATTCAGATAATGGAGCACAGAAAAACAAGATAATATTTACAGTATCATACACTGTGGTCTCAGTAAAACCAGCAGCCTAATTGTTCTCAAGTTTTTTGTAAAGCAGCATGGGAGATGTCCAAGGAAGACACTGGAGAATAACCATTTTCTCCGTATTTCTTCCAAACTGTTAAAGATAACACAGGAGAACAATACCATTATGCACTAAATGTGCAACAAAGGCTACCAAAGCAGATTGAGGTCAATATCTGACTGCTTTCTGAGCAATGTCATGTAGCTTACACTTTATCACGCTCACAAAAATGAACATAAATGGTTCGTTTGTGTTGGATGTATTAAAAATTGAGGCAACAGTGGCCCAAGTCAGGGCGACAGGCCTTCTGCACTGCTAGCATTACAAGACAGTACTTTGGTGAACTCAGGCAATAGTATAAAGCATGACACAAGTTGGCAAAAATTCTAACTGTGTGGGTGGATATATTACAAGAACCTCATAGAAAGACGCTGAAAAATTATGGAGTTAACCTGGATGTAAAGAGCTATTTTAGAGTGAAAAACGACAACTGTAAGATTATCACTGAGATTAGGGAAGAGGGGGAATGGATTCAAGCTGATTTTTCATAGGCCACAAATTCTGCTCTCAACTTGCAAGCTAATCAACAAACACAAAAATCATTATATTTAGTTTACAACCAACGTGCCTAGTTCTGGGACAATTTCAAAAAAACAGAAATAGATAGGTTGTTGCAATACAAGAGAAAGACATCACTGTAACTGTTGTATTTTTCAGCATTCCTGAATTTAATGATTTCCACAGATTAAAAATCACAGTAGAAATCAAGCTAAGAATCTGACTGTAGTCATTATAGTTGTCAGTGGAGAAAATGAAACTGAAATGTTGCAGAAAAATACGTGGCTATTTAATCTGTACAGAAAGAGTTCTGAAGAGTCTCTCAGTAAACTGATCAAGGAATCACTGATAATTGATCTACAATTCTGACTCAACAGTCAGGAATGGGACAGCTCAATACCATTAACTGGAAGTAAGTTTGCGAATGAGGAAGAAATGCCACACAGCAAAGAACTCACTGTGCAGAAGGCAACTGGCATGAGTAACATGATTGGCCTTTTTAACTGGGAGAATTTGTAAACTCTTCCTTCCTATGTCCCCTAAAATGTATAGTGACACACTGAATGATTATGAACGGTATTCATAACCCATGATTTACAGCAAGGATATTCATCAGTATTCCAAGAAGAAAAAAAAATGAAGTTTTTATCTCAGTAAAGGAATACATGCAAAAAAAATTTACATATAGTAGGCTTTCTTACCAGAATACATTTCACAGTATGAATTGCGCTAGGGTCCTTGTTGTTAGCTGCCCAGTGAAGTGGGATTTTTCCTTCAATATCAGGGATTCCAATATTTGAATCATGCTTGATGAGAAGTTTCACATGCTCTGGGTTATTGTAGTAGGCACTCCAATGCAATGCAGTTTGCTGGGACACACCATTCACAAGTTTTATAAAAATGTCAAAAAAGAAATAGAAGTAGTAAAATTAATTAGAGCCTGAAATACATTCATGGTACTTAGATTATATTTTCACAGAATCACACAGAACACCTGAGATTGGAAGGGAGCTCCACAGATCATCTAGTCTAAGCTCTCAGCTCAAAGCAGTGTCAGCAAGAACGCAGGTTGCCCCTGGCTGTGCCCAGTTGCATTCTGAGTATGTGCACGGATGGAGCCTCCACTCGGGACACTTAGAGACTCCCCTCTAAACAGTCTATTCCATGCTTGGCCACCCTCACTGTCACGGAGTTTTTTCTTATGCTTAAATGGAATTGATTGTATTTCTATGTATGCCCTTTGCCTCTTGTCCATTCATCACTCAGGATACTACTGAGAAGAGGCTGGCTCCATCTTCTTCGCCCTTTCCCAACAAGTATCTATACACACTGACAGCATCGTTCCCAGTCTTCTCGTCTCCAGGCTAAACAGTTACAGCTGTCTCTCTTTGCAGGACAGATGCTCCAACCTGTTATTCATCCTTTTTGCCTTGCCACCAGATTTGTGCCAGTATGCCCATGCAACTCCTGTACTGGGAAGCCCAGACATGGAACACCAGGTGTATCTGGAAACACCAGATGTGTTCAAACACTCCAGTGTTTGTGGACACTCCAAATGTGGCCTCACTAGTGATGAATGGAGGGGAAAAATCCTCTCCCTTGATCTGATGTCAGCTGTCTTTCTAGTGTAACCCAGGATGTTGTTGGCCTTCTTTGCTACAAGGCACACTAATGGCTCATGCTCAACTCAGTGACCACTAAAACCTCAGGGGTCCCTTTCAACAAGCTCCTTTCCAGCCTGTACTCATGCACAGGCTTATTCCTTCCCAAGAGCCGGGCTTGGCACTTCCCTTTCTTGCATTTACTTTTGAAATCAATTTTATTGAGCTTTTATGCTTCTGTATAACATTTTGAAGTGCAGAAAATAATTATTTGTAGTGATATCACAAAAAATAACTCTAATTATTATGGAATACAAATCTATTATGGAATAAAAATTACACAAACAAATCTCAGAATAATATGTATGACATATTTGAGGCCAAATCTCATTCCATTTATATCTTCAATAAGTATGGCATTATTCTAGGTAGATCTAATCTTTGTATCTGTCATAATCTTCACAATTTGGCCTGTGGTATCCTGCTCATTTGCTTTACTATCAACAGTTGTTACTGCAATAAAGATAATTTCAACACAAGAATATATATTCTGAAATTAGTGGGGTTTTTTTGTGGGGGTATCATGGATTTCACTGCAGTCATGGAATTTATTCAGGCAGATAAGGCTTTATTTTTAGAACAACAATTCTCTTATAATTCTGAGGAGAATCTTAAGAAGAGGTCTGGAAGCCAGGGATGGACAGTTATCAAATGATGGAGGATTGTCAAAAACTGGAACACATCTACCTAGAATGGGTGACATCAAAATCATTGGAAAATAGGCTTTAAATGAAACTGAGCAAGAGTCCCATCCACCTGAGTATGACTAGATACTCACAAATCTTTCATACAGAGACCTGAATTAGGTCTAAGCCACATCATCCGATGTGATAACCACACCTAGAAGCACTTATATTTGGTATAAAAGGTGGGTTGTTTGGTATATAATTAACCTGGTAGACCTTTAATTTAATTTTGTGAGGATTTCCTGGACTTAAGAAAAAGAATGCTCTGTACTTTAGCCAAACAATATGACAATGCCAGAAAGTGTAACAATTTCAGGGCTGGAGAAAATATCTGACTTTATAATATCACCTTTTTTTATTCATTTTATTCATTTAAGTTAAAATGGCCATCTGAAGCAGAGCTCAAAGCCAGAGCTCAAGAAGACCTCAGAGCCAGAGTCTGGTCCCTCTTAAATTTGGCAGTCTCTTGGAATGATAGAAACTGATGCAGAATTATACGAAAACACTATTTTTCACTAGAAAAAGAGGGCATTAAATACTGACTCTGGACTCACATCCACCTTGAGAAAAAGTTTTGATATTCTGCACTGTCTTCAGTTATTCCAAATTCTATAGGTTGAATAGTATTCAATCTACCTTCCCCCAACCAGTGGTAGTTGAATAAAATATCAAAAGGTATTTTGCCTCTATTGCCAATTCTTGACTATTGTCAGTGGATTTTCCAGACATTATCAAATGTTCATAACTATGTAAGTAAAACATTTTTTAAAAACAGTAGAACATTGGTAGATTAACAAAAACTTTATTTATCAGACATCTCTCCCAACTGCGGCAATCTGAATGCCATCTTGGCTGTTGTGGTCACTCATGACGTGAACTGGAATAAAAGTGCTCTACATTTTGTGGAAAATCTAGCAATGCTTTGAGGCTACTTCGGAAATTAGCTGAACAAAAGGAAAGGTTCCTAAAAGGTTTTGGCTGGTTTCCATATACCTTTATTAATTAATTAATGTGGTCAGGAAGTCAGCACGACTTGCCAGAGTTGAGTCTTGTGATTATATCCAGGGTTTCCACAATACACCTCAGAGTATCCTGCAAGGCAAGCAGCTGATTGCTAGGGCAGAGGCAGGCTTCAATCCTGTTGTGTTGAGGAGGGAAAATATTTATTTTATAGAAATTGGACTTGCAACTGTCTTATCCTGATTTCCAGATGATAGGACCAGATCAGAATTTCGAAGTTTAAGAAGTAATACCACTAGAAAGCTTATTCCCCTTCTCTTAACTATGCCTTCTTCTGGTAAGATGAAAATTCACTAACCAACACATTGCCCTGGCATTACAAGGATGAAGTCCGTCACTATCTGCAGAATGTGATTCTTATTAAACCTCTTATTGACTACACAGCAAAGAGACTTCCAAAGTGAAAATCTCTAAGAAGCTTGTGATTCATTAAAAAAAATCAAATCTGTTTTTTTTTTAAATAATCTGAAGCAAAAAAAAGAAGATCTGGTGGTCAAGAGAAAATCTTATTAGGAAGATGGACGGTGAAGAGCCAGTGCCTCCTAGATTTGTTCTCCTTTATCAGCTATTGGACTAAGAATTCCCCTGACAGCGGAGGCCCTTCCTGGAAACTGGTAAGCTGATCCATAGAGCAGAGCAACAAGCAGTCAAGAATTCAGTATCATCACAAGAGACAGAGCAAAAATGAGATGAGTGACTGGAACAGTGCAAAAGGCAGCTGGTTTTCAACACATTCCTTCACTGGTACCTCTGGACTGCATGAGAAGGTGCTCTTTCCATATATTCTCTTGTATGTAATTTTGGTGGCCCCCAGTGCAGGGCCAAATCACTCACTGATAGGATCAATGTCTTCCAACAGCAAACCTGCATTTAGCTCAGCACCAAAGGAATTACCTTTTTTTATTCATTTTATTCATTT